TTCTGTTAGGGTCCTTTTTAAGGTTAGATGGGCCTACCATCTTAAGACCCTAAACCCTAAACCCTAAACCCTAAGGTGTTGAAGGGTGGAGGATCATCTCTAGATCCTAAACGCCCACAGGGGTTGAGTCGAGGTTGGCGGTGTGCGCGTCTGAGAGCTTACAACCCTATAAACTCTGTAAGCCATCGTTGAGGGTTTAGGGTTTAGGATTTTGGGTTTTATGAGAACATGGAGAAAGGATTGTTCGGAGTTCGCTTTTGAAAGGTGGTGTGCCCACCCCTTTTCATTGCACGCCCAAGCCCTAAACCCCAAACCACCTACTGGGAACCATGTTTCAAATACTTTTTTTCGAAAATAAATAGATACGAAAAGTTATATATATATATATATATTTATTTATTTATGTATTTATTTACTTCTTAACGAATTAATTGATTAATTTGTTTATTTATTTGTTTAATATTATATCTACATACATACAGACAGACATACATACATATACCTATACATATACATATACACATACATATACACATACACATACACATACACATACACATACATATACATATACATATACATATGGAGGGAAAAGCAACATTGTCCGAAACCACTGCCTGACCCAAATCCGTGGGAAGGCGCAGGAGCTGCAGCAGCGCCGACGCGGCCCGGCGGGGCGGAAGCTGAGTCGAAAAGGCCGTTAGGGTTTAGGGTTTAGGGTTTAGGGTTTAGGGTTTAGGGTTTAGGGTTTAGGGTTTAGGGTTTAGGGTTTAGGGTTTAGGGGCCAGGACCCCGCACTCTAAGACTCTAAGCCTTGTGGCCATGCACCCTAAACCACTAAGTTAAACCCTAAACCACTACATGAAACCCCGAAGCCAGAAGCCCTAAACCCTAAACCCCTTAACCCTAAACCCCTAAACCTAATCCCCTACCCCTGAACCCTAAAACCCCTAAACCGCTAAGCCCCTAAGCCCCTAAGTCTCTAAGCATAAACCCTAATCTGGCAGACCCAGGAAAAGCTCAGGGGCGTGGCATTTGCAGCCTTTTTCGGGCTCAGGCTAGCGTGTATGGGTTTAGGGTTCAGGGTTCAGGGTTTAGGGTTTAGGGTTTAGGGTTTAGGGTTTAGGGTTTAGGGTTTAGGGTTTAGGGTTTTAGGGTTTTAGGGTTTAGGGTTTAGGGTTTAGGGTCTGAATTAGACTCGGGGTGCCTCTTTGGGTTGGAAAGTTGTGCAGGCAAGCTTCGACACAGTTGACGTGTTAGGGCTGTGTGTCGCTTTGACTACATCCAGACACAGAGAGAGATATAGAGATCGAGTGAGAGAGAGAGAGAGAGCGTTTGAGAGTGAGTGAGAGAGAGTGAGAGAGAGTGAGAGAGAGTTAGAGAAAGTGAGAGAGAGTGAGCGAGAGTGAGAGAGAGTGAGAGAGAGGGAGAGCGTGTGAGAGTGAGGGAGAGAGAGGGAGAGTCGGAGCACCCTGGCCTGTTGACCCCAAACCCTAAACCCTAAACCCTAAACCCTAAACCCTAAACCCTAAACCCTAAACCCTTGTTGGGTGCCATGGATGGCAGGGGCAGAGCAGGGCATGGGCCAGTACCACAATCAGTGGAGTCCCTAGGGGTTTAGGGTTTAGGGTTTAGGGTTTAGGGTTTAGGGTTTAGGGTTTAGGGTTTAGGGTTTAGGGTTTAGGGTTTAGGGTTTAGGGTTTAGGGTCATCCCAGGGCCCGCACGCGCAGAGAGTGGCAGATCGGAAGCGGTTCAGGCTTTTAGGGTTTCAGGGTTTAGGGTTTTAGGGTTTTAGGGTTTAGGGTTTAGGGTTTAGGGTTTTAGGGTTTAGGGTTTAGGGTTTTAGGGTTTAGGGTTTCTCGCAGGGTCCCACATCGAGCGCATGGAGAAGAAGCAGCTGCAGGAGAATCTCGATGGAGAGGGAGAGGGCGAAAGAAGGAGGGAGGAAGTGAGTTCATGAGTGAGTCAGTGACACAAAGACAGAGAGAGAGAGAGAGGGATGAGGATCCAAGGGCTTCGTATAGCTTCATACGTGCTGTTTGTTTGTGGATAACCCTAAACCCTAAACCCTAAACCCTAAACCCTAAACCCTAAGTTGTTTGTTTGTGGATGAAACCTGGTTGCCCATGGCAGGGCGGCGCCTGCAAGCGCGCCGAACTGCCCCAAGGCGACCATTGAGCTCCATCATTTTGAGGGGTTGGCGTTTAGTGCTTAGGGTTTAGGGAGGTAAATAGACTAGAACCCACAAAGAGATCATTCCGTCATAGTCATAGTAAGGATCCCGTAAGCCCGAAACCCTAAACCCGAAACTCTAAACTGTTGTGCTCTCTTGGGAGCCTTGTACCTTAAGAAGGGCGCGTGTGCCCAATAGTCACGCACATTTCCCTGCTTTATGGGGGAAAATCCCAAGTCAGGGTTTAGGGTTTAGGGTTTAGGGTTTAGGGTTTAGGGTATCCCTAGGTCAACCCTATGCAACCCTCAGCCCTAAAGCGTTGCTACTGCGCAGCCTACCATGCTTTGCCCTGTGAGTTGTGAGTTAGGGTTTACAGTTTAGGGCCCTGTCGGTGTTGCCGTCTCTAAACGCATAGGGCTTGGGGTTTAGGGTTTAGGGTTTAGGGTTTAGGGTTTAGGGTTTAGGGTTTAGGTTTTAGAGTGCTTGGGGTTTAAGAGGGTTTAGGGTTTAGGGTTTAGGGGCTTTCCTACGGTGCCCCCTGTTTCCAAAGGACTCGATGGCCCGATCCTTTCATTTGCAAGACGAAGCATCAGTAGGAAAGCCTCGTAAGACTTCGACTCCAAAGGGGTCTGAAGTATGTGCCCTTCCTTAAGTAAGGAATATACACCTTACATCATACTGAGGATCTCCATAGTATCAATTAGGGTATATTCCCCTAAACCTCTAAACCCCTAAAGCCCTAAACCCCAAAGCCCTCAACCCTAAACCCTAAGCCCTACACCCCTCAATTAAGTGGGGTATTGGGCTCTCCAGGTTTCCATCGACTGGCTGCAAAAGTTGCAGCCCCCGAAGGTGCCACTGGTTGGGATGGCGCTGCATGCCATGGCTTATGATTTAGGGTTTGGGGTTTAGGAATTGGGGGTTAGGGCGTGGGGTTTAGGGTTTGGGGTTTGGGGTTTAGGGTTTGGGGTGTGGGGTTTAGGGTTTGTAGGGTTTGGGCTTAGGGTTTGGGGTTAAGGGTGTAGGGTTAGGGGTTCAGGGTTTGGGTGTAGGGTTTGGGGTGTAGGGTTTAGAGTTTGAGGTTTGCGCGAGAGGTTTGGGGTGTAGTATTTAGGGTTTGGGGTTTGGGGTTTGGGGCTTGGGCCTTAGGGTTTGGAGTTTAGGGTTTGGGGTTTGGGGTTTAGGGTTTGGTGTGTAGGGTTTGGGGTTTAAGGTTTGAAGTTTTGGGTATGGGGGTGTGGGGTTTGGGGTGTAGGGTTTAGAGTTTGGTTTGGGGTCGAAGGTTAAGGGTTCAAGGTTGAGAGAGCTGAAGGGTTTCATGTTGTTTTTTTCTGGGAGCAATTAACCCGGCCTCAGAGATTTTTGGAGAAGTAGCTTCAACCGACTCTGCCACCCTGAAGCCCTAAACCCTAAACTCTGAAGCCCTAAACCTTCGACTCCTACATAACGCCTAAACCCTAAACCCTAAACCCTAAACCCTAAACCCTAAACCCTAAACCCTCGCAAAGCCTTAAAGGCCCCGGATGCCCTAAAGCCCCAGACCGGAATAGCCACATACCAGCGTCGAACTAGAACCTGTTATGGCCCCCCCCCTTCGCCCCTGTTTGGGGTTATGTTTGGGGGTTTTGTTTTGCCTTTATTAGGGTTCCTAAACCCTAAACCCTAAACCCTAAACCCTAAACCCTAAACCCTAAACCCTGTGTCCTTAGGGTTTGGGGTTTGTTTTTTTTCTGGCTGGCGCAAAAACAGTCGTATCGATAGCAGACCAGGTTGGACACGGGCCACGTTGCGAACGGGCCGAACCCCTGAACCCTAAACCCTAATTAAACCCTAAACCCTAAACCCTAAACCCTAAACCCCAAACCCTAAACCCTAAACCCTAAACCCTATAAACCATAAACCCAATCAAGCATAAAGCAAGACTCCAAACGTCCAAACCCTCAACCCTGAGCGCCCGTGTTGGCAGCCGGCCGAAGGTCTGCTTGGTTGTTTAACTAGGACCGGGCGTGGGCCCGTTTTTCCTTTTGTTAGGGTTGGGGCTCCCTTAGGGTTTAGGGTTTAGGGTTTAGGGTTTAGGGTTTAGGGTTGTTAGGGTTGTTAGGGTTGTTAGGGTTGGGGCTCCCTTATAATCCCCTTAAAACCAAGAAGGGTACCCTTGTTATTCCTAGGTTACTCCCGGGTCTAGATCATTTCGATCCAGGGAACCTTGTTGACGCAGCTTCCTTTTTTTAGCCAAGACAAGGCATCTACAAGAAAAAGCAATGCAGTCACCCGATTCAGCAAAGTCAGGGCAGACGAGTCACCGCCCGGGCCTCAGCCGATCTAGGAGTAGGGCACAAGCATGTAAACAACAGCATCCCGACGTCACCGCGTGTGTTGGCCAGTGACCAGCACGAGACTGCACGAAGAGCATGGGGGTCTTATGTGCCTGCTAGGATTTAGGGGGCAACTGTAGAATGGTTTTGCCCCGACGGCTAAGGATCTTGAGCCTAAGCAACGTTAGGACCAATTGTAGCTTGCTGTTCAAGCCCGAAGATCAGGGCCTTACTTCTATAAACCCCGAACACCTAAATCCGGAAGCTACACCTTACATACTCTTGGTAGCCCAGTGGTATACGTTTGCCCTTTTTGGGGGTTCAGGTTCCCTTATCAAGTAACCAACTCCATGGAAGGTTCATTATAAGATGGTTACCCTCCACCTAAACCCTAAACCCTAAACCCTAAACCCTAAACCCTAAACCCTAAACCCTAAACCCTAAACCCTAAACCCTAAACCCTCACCTCTCGGAGAGTGGTGTTGCCAGCCGCGCTTTGCCCGTCGGCGAAATGCCGGGGGCGGTGGCAAGCCATGGCAGATGGTGGACTGTAGCTGCAGGCCTTTCGGCTGATCAAGCCTAAAAATTTAAGGTTCAGGTTTAGGGTTTAGGGTTTAGGGTTTAGGGTTTAGGGTTTAGGGTTTAGGGTTTAGGGTTTAGGGTTTAGGGTTTAGGGTTTAGGGTTCATGGCTATTTACTTCAGTGGAGGTTAGATATATCAGCCACTACGCAAGGTATCTGGTACTCTGCTCGGCGACAGTTTTCATGGGTGATGCCTACAAATGAAGAGGTAAGTATGACTGAACTGTAGGTGCCCACAGCCTTAAACACGCTACTTTGAGGGCTTCGTCGTGCTTGGAGGATGTAGTAAGATGTTCGGATGAGTTCAGGGGTGTAGCCTTCCCGAGAATGGGTAGGTTCAGGGTTTGAGGTTTAGGGTTTGTGTTTGCGGTCCAGGTTTTAGGGATGAGACTAGGATATCTACCTGAAGCTATGCAAGTATGCACCTTTGTAATTTGGCTTCTGCATGTCCTATACGACCCAATGTGAACAACGGCTTCCTCTTCGGATCTCTTCGGCAAAAAGTGACTCTTGGTGCCAATCCAAATGTATTTCCGCAGCTCCAGAGCCTGACAAGAAATGATCCAACCAGATAGTCTAGGACCCAGAGTAGGCCATTATACTTCTTCCCTTTTTTGTATAGGGTTTAGGTTCAGGGTCACTTATAAGCCCCAAAAAGGGCTAGTAGCGGAATGTACATTCCCTACATGTGGGTATTCTGACCCGGGACTAAAAGCTTGTTTGACGTTAGAAGGGTGTCGCTGATTCTCCATGCAAAGACGGGTAAGTGTTCAAAACAGGTTGAAAGTACATTGTATTTATGCAAGGTTTTCGAAAGGGGGGGGATTATGGCTTAGCTAAGAACCCTAAACCCTAAACCCGAAAACAAGGCTTCCTGCTAGCCCAGTGGTACCCTTTACCCTTTTTTTGGGTTCATGGCTCCCTTATCAAGCAACCAACCACAAATAAGGTACCCTTCTTATCGTATGGTTGCTGCGCTGCCAAGACACTAAGTCCGAAGCCCTAAACCTTAAACCCTAAGCCCTGAACCCTAAACCGCAAACCCCAAAACCCAAACCCCAATTGAAGACTTAGCTAGGAGTTGCGGTTGCAACCCTACCACAACTTCGAAAACCTGGCCCAGGTCTCAGCCGGGTTGCCTCCGCACACGACGGAGATCCTCGGACGGTTTAGGGGTTAGGGTTTGGGGTTGAGGGTTTAGGGTTTAGGGTTTAGGGCTAGGGTTTAGGGCTTAGGGAGGTTCGGGGCTTGAACTTAGCAAGCTGCCCCTAAGAATCTCCTAAACCTAAGCCCCAGAAGCCTGGAGGAGTGATTGTTAATCGTAAACCCTAAGCCCACTAACAACCCCTATACCCTTCATCAGCGAGCCCTACAAAGGTCACAGCCCTCAACCCTAGACCCTAAACCATGTGCTCCAAAACGCTTTAGCCTACTTTCACCTACTTTCAACCCCCCCCCAAAAAAAAAAAATCAGACTCCCCACCTTCGAAACCTAAGCCCTGGAACCCTGTAGACTTTTCCGGGGTTCAGGGTTTTGGGTTTTGGGTGTAAGGTTTAAGGTTTAGGATCCCATCCCAGGACGAGGGGTCCATAGCTCTGGCAGCGCATGCCTCAACCTTCGCGGCCAACCTTTCCACTGCCAACAGCGGCCGAGCTGCAGGAATCTACTGTAGGAGCCCACGGTCAGGGTTTTTGTTTGGGGGCTTTAGGGGTTTGGGGTTTAGGGTTTAGGGTTTAGGGTTTGGAGCTTAGGGTTTAGGGTTCTTCCCCAAACCCTAAACCCTAAAACCCTGAACCAGGGCACGGGCCCCCATCTTTCAAGTTGCCCGAAGCCGGCGAGGCCTTCTTACAGCTCTGGGGAGGTCGGCTCTGGGTTCTGGGTTCAGGGTTCAGGGTTCAGGGTTCAGGGTTTAGGGTTTAGGGTTTAGGGTTTAGGGTTTAGGGTTTAGGGTTTAGGGTTCAGGGTTCAGGGTTTAGGGTTTAGGGTTTAGGGTTTAGGGTTTAGGGTTGGCCCCCGTACTTCCAGCTACTTCAATATTGGGTTCTTCGCGGCTTCCCAGCAACATATACCCAAGGACAGCTTGTTAAGTTCAAGCCCCGAACCACACCCCAGCCCCAAGACCCTTAACCCTAAACCCTTAACCCTGTTGGAGCTTTTTGAGGGGTCTCTGCCTTCAAGACCCTAAACCCTACACCGTAAACCCTTGTGGGATTCTTGGCGGTGCCACAGGAGGCGGGGTGGGGGAGGGGAGAGATTTGGGTTTAGGGTTTAGGGTTTAGGGTTTAGGGTTTAGGGTTTAGGGTTTAGGGTTTAGGGTTTAGGGTTTAGGGTTTAGGGTTTAGGGTTTAGGGTTTAGGTGTGCAGGGCAACGGGTGGCGAACCCCAAGGGCTCAAAAGAATCAAGTCGCCCGGGCCTGTGCGTAGGGATTAGTGTAGTGTTTCGGGTTCAGGGATTGAGGGGTTTAGGGTTTAGGGTTTAGGGTTTAGGGTTTAGGGTTTAGGGTTTAGGGTTTAGGGGCTTTGTTCAGGGCGCATGGGTTTTTGTCCAGAGGCTCCGCCGAATCAGCACGAAGAAGGCGAAGAGGCCCCCGTACCTGAAGCATCAGGTGAAGTACCTGAGGGCTCCCAGGTAGTTCCTTTTTGGGTTTAGGGTTTAGGGTTTAGGGTTTAGGGTTTAGGGTTTAGGGTTTAGGGTTTAGGGTTTAGGGTTTAGGGTTTAGGGGGTTCTAGTATAGTACCCTTAGCAGGTACTACCCAGGAGCCTTGAGTTAGGGTGGCCCCGCCTTTCCTGCGGCTCTATGATGCTGTCCTTCTAAAGAAGGGCCTTGATTCATACTCTAAAGTTTGTCGGGTTTAGGGTTTAGGGTTTAGGGTTAGAAGTAAGTTCGAGTGGTCCATTTTAGAAGTTTAGGGTTTCGGCTTCATATGAAGTGTTTAGTGAGACAACCTAGGCTTCCTCATCAATATTCAGCGTGGGCGAGTGTACATACTTGGTGTCCTGAGGATGCTAGTGCTTACGGCTCGAGGCTTCGTGTTCCAGGTGTCTTTGTGGCATATGCACCTGGTCTAGGCCCATGATTCTGGGGCCCTTTCGGAGCCTGGGTACTGGAGGGTGAGAGCTTCCGAGCTTCTCGGAATCCTCAAGGTGGCAACGAAGACGGCCGTTCTTCTCCGGATCGAGCGCGCGAGCGGGGCAGATGAGTGCTCACAAGGGTCCAACAGCTTGCATCTTGCGCCTCTCGTAGATTGAACAATCCGGGCCCCCTGACGATGCTAAACCCCATAACCCAAAAAGCCCCAAAAACCTTAAGACTTCCACGACAGAGCCTCAACCCCGTGGCTCCACCTGCAAGCCAGAACTAAGCCACTGAGCCCTGTTGTGATCGTCAGCTAGTTGCGGTTCACCCTTGAATGGTCTCCTGTTTACAATGGTTTAGGGGCTCGGGGTGTTTCAGGGTTTAAGGCTTTAGGCCACAAAATTGCAAAAACAACACAGAAGACCCCAAGACTGTAAGACACCAAACCAAACCCAAACCCTCAACCCCTAACCCCCACGCATAAGCCCCAAGCCATACGGGGGTCTTGGAAATTAGGGGTACCTTATTGGGGTCCTCATTATAAGGGATTCCTACTATTGGGGGGGGGGTCTATATTATATTGTGGGTCATGTTCGTACAAGCCCCCATACTTAGTATAACCCTTATATATACCTTATAGTCCCAAAATGCCTAAGTAGCCCATCTGCAACCTCCAAAGAACTCCAAAGGTCCCTTATAAGGGCCCCTCCTTTGGAAACCCCAAACCCTAAACCCTAAACCCTAAACCCTAAACCCTAAACCCTAAACCCCAAACCCTAAACCCTAAACCCTAAACCCTAAACCCTAAACCCTAAACCCCAGCAAGAAATCAATTAAAAAGAAGCAAGGTGGGAATCCCTTCAGAGGATCTCCGATCTGGACGCCGGGCTCGGAAATCGATTGCTCGGAGACCTGCAGCTCGCCCTGGTTCATGGTTTAGGGTTTAGGGTTTAGGGTTTAGGGTTTAGGGTTTAGGGGCAACAGCAGCGGTAGCAACCCTGTAGCAGCGTGAACGGCAAGAGTAGCGATAATAGCCATGATCGGGATGGCAACATATGGAACCTGAACCCAAAAATCTCGACACCCTAAACCCTAAACGCTTAATGGTTCAGGACTGCGGGCTTGGGTAGGGGGGGGGGGGCGTATAATTATGAGTTCCTCGCCACCAGTCGAGCCTACAGTTGAGGTTCGTTTTAGGATTTGGGGCACAAGGTTTGGGGTTCAGGGTTTAGGTCTTAGGGGTACAAGGTTTAGGGTTCTGGGAGTTAGGCTGAGGGGTGAGATTTTCAGGTTTTAGAAGTTATCGCATTTCAGATTTCAAGTTTTACGGTTTCCCAAACCCTTATGAACCCTAAACCCTAAACCCTAAACCCTAAACCCTAAACCCTAAACCCTAAACCCTAAACCCTAAACCCTAAACCCTAAACCCTAAACCCTAAACCTTTCATGGTCTCCAGCCCTGAACATCACTGGCGTGGCGAGGTGGTTCCTGGAGAGACTGCTCCGACTGGCCGATGCGCATGTGCGCGCTCGAGCCACGGTCGAATGGCGCAGTTTTTGGCGCTCCCAACCGGCCACTCAGTGGTACCCTCTCTCCTTCAGCTTTCTAAACCCTAAGCCCTAACGCTAAACCCCAAGTTAGTTCCATAGACGTCCCTTGCAAAAGACTAATATGCCTTTCTTGTTCTCGGGTACTGGGGAACCTAGCCTCGGTGGGTGTTGGTTGGCTTCTGTTTTTCGGATTCTGGGTCTTGCCAGTAGTTGTGACTCAAAGGATTCAGGGCTTCTTAGCTTCAGATGTTAGAAGCTCCAGAGGGCTTTAGGGGTTAGGCTTACTAAAGGACCCAGAGCAGGCCCTTCTTTCCTTGTTTTCGGGGTATAGGTTCCCTTAAGACGCCGCCCCTTAAACCCAAATGGGCAACCTCTTTATTCCTAGGTTCCTCCTAGTCCAGGATGGCTTTATAGGTTTTGAGGGTATGCAAGGCCTACAGCTTGGGATTGGGGGAACAATCCCCCTCCTCTTCAAATTTGTCAATCGCCCCGCCTCTTATAGGGTTTCGGCTTGGATATATTCTAACTACGCCTTTGAGGTCCTATTTTGGGGGGTGGCTCAGGGCTTAGAGCTTCTTCACAAGATGTATGGTTTTGTGGGCATTTGCCCTGAATCCTACACCCGAATTGGCCGAGGATGACTATTGCGACAAGCATGTGTGCCTGCACAAGAGGCGGGCGCCATGCACTCTCTAGGTACATGGACCAGAGTTAGGGCTCAGGGATGTTGAGGGTTTCGGGCAACGGGCACTGAAGACGCGCAGTGACCTTCCTCAGAGCTCAACTTAAGTTTGCGATTGGCGCCGCTGCTGCCTCCTTCCATTGTAGTATAATGTTCATGACTGGTGTTGTATGGGTTTAGGGTTAAGGGTCTAGGGTTTGTTTGTAGTAATGTTCCATGACTAGTGTCCATGCCGCTGGCAAGGATGCCAGGATAACAATGCAACCAGGGGCCCAACAATCAGCTCCATGCTCATCCTCAGCTCCACGGGACATTACCACTATGTCCCCCTTAGGAATTATTGTTTCAACTTTTATTTGCAAAACTTACTTAGCCAATAATTGAACTTTAAACTTGTTGATTTCCTTCTCTTGTAGGAATAATACAGGTTATTGGAGAAGTAAGGTAAAACCAAATAATGTTAAACAATGTGTTCATTAAGCTTCTAAGGGGAGTATAGACCATTGCAGGGATCTTGCTTGCAGCCTCGCGCTGGGGTGAATTAGGGCTACACCCCCCCCCCCCCCCCCCCAAACCCGAAACCCTAAACCCACTAAACCTCAACCCCCCAACCCCTTTCTTCTAGCCCCAAGAGCTGAACTACTTGGCACGTCAGGCGATTTTTGCAGAAGCTGCTCTCGGGCTTGGAGAGCTGAGTAGGTGACCTTCAACCAGTCGTCGTAGTATTCTTGATGTTTGTTGTTTTTTGCTTTTTTAAATTTTACACTCTAAGGGAATATAAGGGCCATACTAGGAGTATTTTCAGGGAGGCCTTAAAGGGGTACAACCTTAGGCGTACGAATCTGAATCCCTTGATTTACCATACAGTTGAGGGGTTCTAGCAAAGCCCACCCATCATCGCAGGATGAGGCGGGTACACATACTGTTAGTACTACTAGTATGGTTCTCGTGGGCATCGACTGTCCACCTCCCTAGGCCCTCGACACCCCAAGCTAATCTTTGTCGCCTCCTACAAGACACGGCCAGTACGAGAGGCTAAGAGAGTTCAGACTTGAATTGGGCCTAATTGTCTTACTTAGCCACTAGTTGAACTTTTTCCTTATGTATAAAGTTTAACCTTTTTTCCCCTTGGTTATTGGAGAAGTAAGTTGTCCTGTCAGGCTGTTCCCGATGCTTGGTGGCGACGCTTCCTTTTTCTTCGTCATTTTCATCGTCGCCTTTCTCGCAGGCCGCACTCGGCGAGGGTCCCGAAATCATCCTCCAACGTCCCTCAACCACTGGGTGTTGGAGTACCATACTTTAATCCTTTTTGGTTAACGCACACTGCTTTTTCTGGTTCTGGGTTCTTATTATAGCTACTTATACCTAAAAAGGCATATACTTTTTTCCAGGGTCTACGCCAAAGTAGGGACACTGTAAGACTCTGTAAGACTCTCCTATCCCTCCTGCCCTGAAGCACCGACCTGTGCAAGCTGGCAGGGAGAGTCCTGAAGTGGACGTAACTCACGGTTTAGGGTTTAGGGTTTAGGGTTTAGGGTTTAGGGTTTAGGGGACCTTAAAACACATGCCTAAAAGCCCTACATGCAGGTATAACGGCTCGAAACTCTGCCTCAGAAGCATGGTTAGTAACAGCCTCACCCAAGAAAGCGTGCCCAGACTCCTTGAATGAACACCGTGTACTTCCCAAGTGCCCAAACTGTCCCGATAGCCGAAACCGTAAACCCTCAACCCTGACACTGACAACTGAGCCCTGTAGCTTCCCCAAAGCGAAACCCTGTAAAAAATGCTTCTTGTAGTAGCAGCCCTTGTGACCCAGAAAAGATGGACCCGGGTTTAGGAGAACCCCTCTCGAACGCGAAAGGAACCGTGAACCCTGAACCCCAAACCCTAAAGCCCATACCCTTAAGCTCAAGTCGCCGAAGGCCCTTCAGAGTTTGGTCTTTGGGACCAGAACCCGTTAACATGAGAGTCCTTGGAGCCTTAGTTTAAATCCTACAGCCCCCAGGCCGAAGTTGCTGGGGTTTTAGGCTAAAGGCTAAGGTTGCGTCCTTAGGGTTTGAGTTTGCCCCTCAACCCTTACCCCCGTAGATCCTCAGACCCTAACCCCAAACCCTAAATGCCCTACCTACCCTAAACCCAAAATACACTAAGCCCGAAACACCCTAAATACCCGAAAGCCCGAAATACCCTATCTGCCCCAACTACCCTAAATACGCTAAGCCCTAAATACCCTAAGCCTGAAATACACTTAAAAATCCGTAAAGCCCGACGACCACGTGAGGCGCGCCGGGCATCGGAGGTGGAGGCATCAACGTCCCGCTCCTGATGATGCTCAACCGGCAACTAGGCCTCAGTAAGAGTTTAGAGGCTCCAGGGAAGGTTTAGGGTTTAAGGTTTCGGGCTTAGCGGCTGCCAGTAAAACCCTAAACCCTAGAGGGTTATGAAGGTGTTTTCTAGCACTTCTTTCCCCTAACCCTAAACCCTTATGGGCTTGGGGCTCATTGTTTCCATGGAAGGCTTCTCGAAATCCTCAACCCTAATTCCAAACCCTCACCTGAAGGCTCTAATGTAGTTTCTGCTTTGGGATTAGACAGAGGTTTCTAGTATACTGCTACGCCGGTATAGGGTATTCAGAGGGTTATTTCTCAGGACCGTGCCTTAGGATCAAAACCGCCTAATTAACCTATCGAATGTGTGGTCTTTGGGCCCAATTGACCCTTAGCATAACAGCCCTTAGGTTTTTTTTTACTAGGGTTTAGGGTTTCGGTTTGATCGCGCCGGGGTCTGGGTGTAGGGCTTTACAACTACAGCGTAGACAGCACAGGCGATGAAGCTGAATCTCTGCTAGGGTTTTGGGTGTTAGGGCCTTCGGGGCCAAAGGCTAAACCTCATAACCTCAAACCCCCAACCCCTGGAAGTCCCTCCACCAAACCCTGAAAACCCTGAACCCTAAACCCCACAAGCAAGCCCTAACCTGCAAACCCTCAGCCCCAAAGTCTTTTAAGACCCTTAGAATTCCATGTCTAAGGTTGAAACCATGTGCCCTTAGCCCTCAGCATGGTCCCTTACCATGTCAAAAAGATCCGAAGTGCGGGCCCTTATTCTAGAAAGCGTATGTAAGGGTCATAGAACAAGGACCCAAATTGGCATTTCCCAAAATAGGGGGTACCCCGTTTTATGCCCCAAATAGAATCGAATCCCCTTTAAAGGGTTATGGGGTTCCAAAATTCAGGGCCCATACGTGGATTTTTCAACGACGTGGATGTCTTGGAGGTATATTCTCCGGGGCCTTAGTTTAGGGTTTAGGGTTTAGGGTTTACCTTGGACACCCACACACACAGTGTGTGCCCATTCTCTTTACTGGGAGGGCATGACTTAGGGTTCAGGGTTGAGGGTGTTTAAGGTATAGGATGTGGGGGCCTCCGAACTGATTGGGGTCCTTACTACAAGGGGATCCTACTATTTGGCGTCTATATTTGGGGTCCCTTACTTTCGTAAACCCCCCATTTGGGGCGTATCATGTTCTCTTGAAACCGTCATCAACCCTCAACCCTCAACCCTAAACCGTGCTCTGGGATCGGCTTGGCCTGCATGTAAGGCTCTGTGGACTACACGCTTAGGCCTGCAGGGTTTCTGGAACCTCGAAAGCTCAAACTCGAAACCCGAAACCCCTTAGTAGGCCAGTGGTAGACTTTTTTCCAAGGTTCCCCTTAAAAGTAGCCAAACCCAAAAAAGGGACCCTCATTACAGTCAAGCTTACACGGCCACCCTAAACCCTAAACCCTCAACCCATGGCCCCAAGACCCAGGTTCACCATCAAGGAGGCGGTTCCGATCTCGCACATCGCCGCAGCTGGACCGGCTTAAGGTAAGGGGTTTAGGGTTTAGGGTTTAGGGTTTAGGGTTTAGGGCTCGAGAAAGGGATTGTCCGGATTTGTTCAAGGTTTAGTGTTTGGAGTTTAGGCACTAATACAGCCCCCGAACGCTGCAACTTAGGTGGCTATAACTACATGCCGGTTCCAACCCTCAAGTTAAGGACGCGCAGTAGTACCCTTATTTCCCGTTTATTCCCTTCTATAGAGCCCGCCAAGAAAAACCGGCACAGCTCATTCTCAGGCTGGGCACAGGTGAAGTTGAGGTTCTAGGCACGTCGGTAGCCCCTAAACCCGAGACCACAAACCCAAAATCCTAAACCCGCCGTTTAGGTTAGGGTTGCGGGTTTAGGACCGCTCCTGGAGCGCATTGAGTCTTAGGCAAGCATCTGCATCTTCAACCTTCAGCCCCAAACCCTCAGCGGGACCCTAAAGGCAAAAGCAAGCCTCCACAAAAGGGGCGACACTTAGAAGGTTATTGTCCCAAAATAGGAGGTACACTTAGGCAACCCGCCCAAGTAGCGACCGCCTGCCACCCACCCCGCCCCCTGCCCTAAACCCTGAACCCGAAGCCCAAAACCTAAACTCCTAAACCCTAAGCCCTGAATCCTAGACCCTAAACCAAAAACCCAACACCCAAAACGCAATACCCTAAACCCTAAACCCTAAACCCTAAACCCTAAACCCTAAACCCTAAACCCTAAACCCCAATCCCTAAGCCCTAGAAGAGCTCTCAAAGTCGCAACTTCTTCACCCTGGGCGCAAGCCAAGGTCATGGGTCCAGACCTCAGTTTGCACAGGGTTTCGTGTTTACCCAAAGGCTCCAATGTAGTTCCTTTTTGGGTTAGCTATAGGGGATTCTAGTATACTGCCCCAAAAAAGTACTACATATGAGCCTTGGGGTAGGGTCGTTTGGGTGTGGGACGAGGGTTCTGGGTTTTTCAGTTCAGGGGTCTTTGCAACACCTTAGAACCCCGTCAAGAGCCAACAATCCCTGTCAGGCATATAGGCCTTAGCCTAATACTCCCCAGAATGGCTTAAGACCTCGCCAGCATCCGTCCTCCCAAGTTTCGACAAGCTTCTTTCATCAATGCTCGGTAGCCCTAAACCCAAAACCCTAAACACTGTCGGCTCCTCATCGGAGCAAGAAATTGCAAAGTTCAGGTTCAGGGCGGTCTTGGGCCGATCTGGTCTTCCAGTACCCAGCGAGCCCAACACCCTTAGTGAAGGCATAGACCTTTAAAAGGTTTGGTTTAGGGGTTTAGGGTTCAGGGTTTGGGGTTTCGGGTTTAGGGTTTGGGGTTTGGGGTTTGGGGTTAAGGGTTTAGGGTAATAATGTTCGATTGCGGGGTCCTGAAATTTAAGGGGGTTTGGCTGTTTGGGTAGGACTACTAGGCTACAGAGTAGGCCCTTATCCCTGTTTTTTAGGGCTTAGGCTCCCTTAGTAGCCCCTTCAGACCAAAAACGGTGCAGGCTTAATTTCTGGACTACTCTTTCTTGGGTCCAGGTGATTGGGATTGAGCGCTGGGGTTAAATGAAAGACTCCAGTAGGGTAGGACCCTAATAAGTAATCCCTAAGCCCTAAACCACTAAAGCCTGAGAATCCTGAAACCCCAAACTGCAACCCCGCTGAAGGCTTAAACCCCCAGCCCGAAAACCTAGATAATTACCCCCTAATGCCCCCTATACCGCGTGATACCCCCCCTTATATCCTCCTACAAGGAGGGGCCCCTGTAAGGACCCTAAATTAGGTTATAAGGATCCTAAATTAGGTTCTAAGTCCCTTAACTATAGTTAGTATAGTAAGGGGGGGGGGGGGCCTCCTTGTAATGCCCCCTATACCACCTGATACTCCCCCCCCTATATCCTCGACCCTGGGGCGAGGCAACGCGCTGTCCCAGCTTCTGGTGAACACCCGACTGCGGCACCCATCCATGCCACTGCGGCCTCTCATCCACTACGCCAGCTGGCCAGATACGTTTAGGATTTAGGGTTTAGGGTGGGGTTGAGGGTGTGGGGTTTAGGGTTTAGGGTTTAGCGTTTAGGGTCTAGGGTTTTGGTTTTGGTTTTAGGGTTCAGGGTTTAGGGTTTAGGGTTTAGGGTTGTGGTTCAGGGTTTGGACGGTTTACCCAGAGTAAGCTTGTACTATCTTGTACCTTAACGCAGAGTCATACACCCAATGATTCAGGCACATTTGCCTTTGAAAGGGTATCAACGTTACTTTAGGTAGGGTTATTTGGGGGTGAAGGCATACAAGTTCTTACGGCCAGGGGGGGGGGGTCGAGTGACGACGGTGTCTCACGCTCACAAACGGTTCGGGGTGCTTGCTGGGTTTGGGTATTGCAGGCCAGTCCTGCCTTGTTAGCAAGGACTTAGGGCACCACATAGCTAGCTGTAACTAGCTGTCGTCCAGGGATGCAATGCCGAATTGCTTGGACAGCTTGTGTGTATGGGGCAACATCTCAGGGACTTCCTGACACAGCGTTGTGTTGGTCCACGCATCGCATCTAAGCTGCCAGGCCTTCAAGTTTCTCTGGCGCCTCGCATTTGGCTTTCAGCATGTGCCGAAAAGCCTAGCTCAACCTCTGAAGTCGCGCGAAGCCAAAAGCCATGGCAGCCATAGACGGTCCTATCTGCTCCCGGTGCTCCGGCCAAGGACACCGCGCTGCCGAATGCAGGAAGCCCTTCTATCGCGTGTGCAGCCACTGCAAGCAGCTTGGGCACTTACTGAAAGCGTGCCCGCAGCTCACGGCGAAAAAGGGTGGCAAGGAGAAGAGTTCTAAAGAGATCGATGCGCAGAGTGAGTCAGAGGTGAGCACCGCTGCTTCGTCAGAATGGTCTGGGAAGTCTTGGCCGCGTGGCTCCGGGAAGGGCAAGGTCGATTCTTCAGCGCAGTGGCAGCCACATCACTGGGTCCTCAGCGAGAGTGAGGAGCGCGAAGCTCGCAAGCTGGAGAAGAAGCTGCGAGAGATCTCCGCGCTGGAGAGGATGCAGGACGAGGGCAAGGGCTTGGACGTCTTGCAGCTGCAGAAGCTGCAGCGCAAGGGCGAGATCGAGGGCCACGACGTCCTGCGCAAAGTGCGGCTGGGATATCGCCGGGCTTCGCTGCCGGCGCTGGCCGAGTAGGCCAGCGCGCTATAGATTAGCTAACCGAAACATGGAGAGTCTGTTGTGTACAGTGTACAGACCCATTTCTCTTCAGCAGCTCAAGCTTCGGGCGATTTTGTGGTTGCAGTCGGCAACGGCAGCAGCAGCAACTCGTGCATCAAACCCCAAAAGCCGCCTTGCAGAACCCTACTTGGTCTTGATTGAAGAAGCTAGGTTCTACATATTCTTTAAGGGTTTAGGGCGTAGGGGCTAGGGAGTTTAGGGTTTAGGGTTCAGGTTTTAGGGTTTGGGCATCGTGGACAGGCATACCTGCAGTCACCAAGCTCTCCCAATGCAGTGCGCGCCTTCCTTCTGCAGCCCGCCAGGGCCATCGGCAGCTCAGTATCGCCTAAGCCTAAGAAATATTCAACATACCCTACAAGGAGGGGCACCCCTAGTTATAAGTAGAGTTATTAGGACCCTAGATGAGGTTGTAAGGATCCTAAATTAGGTTATAAGTCCCTTCACTATAGTTAGTATAGTAAGGGGCCCCCTCCTGGTAGGGCATACCCCTTAAAAGAAAAAGCGGGGGTATGGTCCCTTGGACTCCCTTGCATTATCGTTTCAAATAGGTTAAGGGGTATGGGTTTGGGGTATGGTGAATGTTTCTTAGATTAGGAGGGGCCGCCTTGTTGCTACATCTTTTCACATCAGAACCCCTTGTAACAAGGAACCCTTGCGCCCTCCTCCCAAAGCCTACACCCCCCCCCCCCCCCCCCCCCCCCCCCCCCCCCCGAGAAACAGACCCTAAACCTGAACCCTAAACCCTAAACCCTATTCCCGAAGTTAAGGAAGTCGCCGCAGTGTTGCTGCCGGCTATGTCTCGGCCCCAGTTCCTATAGTAGTCTTTTGTCAGTCTGGGTTTTGTTGCAGGTTTCAGGCTTAGGGCTTGTGGTGTGGAGGGATTCAGGTTTAGTCAGGGCTTCCAGGTTGGGGGTTCAGGGTTTATAAGACCGTTAGGAGAGGCAGGGTAAGTTCCGCACGACTCGACTATCACCGTAAACTACCCTTGATCCCTGAACCCCTGACCCCAAATCTTCGAACCCACAAATTCCATGAAACCTCACCCCTAAACCGAAATCCTATACTCCAAACACATAGGGGGGTTTACGAAGTTAAGGGACCCCAAACAAGATCCGCAAATAGTAGGGTCCCCTTACAAAAGGATCCCAAAAAAGGTACCCTTCAATAAGGATCCCAATAAGGTACCCCTAATCTCGGAAACCCCCCCATAAAGTACAAGGAGCCCCCCCCCCCCAGGTATAAGTAGAGTTCTAAGCACCCTTAAATTCGGTAATACGGATCCTGACTTAGGTTATGATTTCCTGAACTATAGTTAGCATAGTAAGGGGGCCCCTTAAACCTGAAACCCCAAACCCTAAACCCCCCCCTGGAAACCCTAGACTCTTACTGAGGCATAGCTAGTTCCCTACTTTCGGAATAAACCCTAAACCCTAAACCCTAAACCCTAAACCCTAAACCCTAAACCCTAAACCCTAAACCCTAAACCCTAAACCCCCATCAAGCCCCAAAACCTGTACACCGAAAACCCCACACCCAAGACCAGCCCTTGGCCTTTTTTCTGCTCTGGCGAGCTCCGCAAAACTGCACGATTAGGGTTTAGGGTTTAGGGTTAAGGGTTTAGGGTTGAGGGTTAAGGGTGAAGGGTTCAGGGTTTAGGGTTTAGGGTTAAGGGTTAAGGGTTTAGGGTTAAGGGTGAAGGGTTTAGGGTTATCATGATGATCCCCTTGCAACCCCTGTACAGCCCACAGACATTCGAGTTCCCCCAAGCCCTAAACCCTAAACCCTACACCCCCCCCGATCTGCTTGCGAGGAAACACACCCCAGGTCCCTAAACCCTAAACCCTAAACCATAAACCCTAAACCCTCAGCACCTCGAAGCCCTCAAGCCAGAAACGTTGCAGCCTTAGGGGTTTCGACAGTATAAGTTGGTGTTTCCGAAATCGGGGTACCTTGTTTCGGGGGTTCCTATACAAAGCTGGGTCGTGCTTTGGGATGTTTTCTTTTTTTTCACCCTCTTTCCTTGCAAGGGAACCTATTCATAAATATATTTCGTTTAAAGCACAACTCGGTAAAGTATGTTGGGGTATATATTGGGGACACACATTGTGGGAAACTCCATATGAGCTCATATGAATCCCGAGACCACAATATCTGTCCGTGGTTTAGGGCCACCTTCATGAGCAACCTCATCCCACGAACGTCTGGCAGACCATACTTTGCCGGTATGATTCCCCGTCGTGCTTGTGCGGCAAAGTCACCCTAAACCTCCAAAGACTTTGGTAGATGGATTACCTGGGTCCCTAAGTACCCGTAGAAAATTACTAGGGTCCCCTAATGACCCAATATTGGAAAAGGAACCTTATAACCTAATCTAGGGCCCTTATAACTCTACTTAGAACTAGGGAGGGGGGGCCCTCCTTGTATGGGCTACTTGAAAAGCTAAACCCTAAACCCAAAACCCTACACCCTACACCCTACACCCTACACCCTAAACCCTAAACCCTAAACCCTAAACCCAAAGCCCTGAACCTCCGGAGGCTTGGCGGCAACTCGCTTGGCATCGTCGTCTCCCGTGTCGTGGCGCCAACGTGGCGCAGCCGCAGTGGAAGAAACCCTAGCTGGTCCCTTGTACAGGGTTTAGGGTTTAGGGTTTAGGGTTTAGGGTTTAGGGTTTAGGGTTTAGGGGTACCTAGAATAGCCTTGAGGTATATGCTCGAGGGATTTAGGCAAGTCCCCCCCGAAATGGAGCGCGGTTGTCGAGCAAGGCTGTTGTAACTTCTCTTGTGGGGGGAGGGGGCGTTGCTCACCCTAACCCGCACCCTTAAACCCTAAACCCTAAACTCTAAGCTTTACCCTAGAACAAGTGAGAGCATGTTGGGGGAAATCCAACTCATGCTGCCTTGCCTTATGCCCCCTGAACCCTCAGCACGTAAACCAGTTGGCTAAAATGTCCAGCCGCGCAACGCCATCATTGTACGACGAGAAGTAGTTTAGCTCTTCTTGCACAAGCTTGGCAGGCTTCTAGTGGTGCTTTCTCTGGCTCTTCTGCTGATGACCTCCTGCAAGACATTCTACAAAGGCGGGTGGCGATGTCGTTACAGTTTCTGCTTCCTGTAGTCTCCGCCTTGCAAATACATGATAATCCCATGGGCCTTGTTTTTTTTTTCGGGGCCCCTGCTATAGTTCGCCCCCTACACCCTAAACCCTACACCCTAAACGCTAAACCCTAAACCCTAAACCCTAAGCGCCCCCAAACATCTGGTCACGATCCCTTTAGACCACCCGTCGGAGGTGTCAAGGCCTACCGGGAGCAGTCGCGGAAATCCAGCACCGGCCTTCCAGCTATGATTAACATTATTAACATGATTGTTATTACTTTTTCACTGCAATTAGCATCATGTCCGATCTTCCCTCCTTATACTAACAATCTTTACCAGAAGTTGTAGTACCCCCATTAGAATCCCTATTAAGAACTGATGATTGTTGTTCTTATTGTTATTGTGGTTGTTAGTGTTATGATGACTGTGTTTTTTATGGTTGCCCTAAAATGTTTTTAGTCTTCTGATTCCTGATATCCATGTAATAATTCTCATGTTATGCAGGCCAGAACCAGGTTCTCATGTTAAGCAGGCCAGCACCAGATTGGGGTTTCAAAGTGTATGGTCCCTGGATTGCAGCCCCCGACATGGCAGCGTTTAAGCTAAGGATGCGCATCTAGGCGACGGAAAGTCTGACTACTGTGGGGTTTTGGGTTTAGGGTAGCTTGCGGCTTCAAGACTCAACATCGCAGTGGTCAGGCAACCAATAAGTTGGCGTCGGTAGTACAGTCTACACCCCCTAAACCCTAAACCCGTCACCCCTGAGCACCCCTCGACAACTGGCCAAGTAGGGCGTTGAGGGTTCAAAGGTCTAGGGTTTAGGGCTTGGTGTTTAGGGTTTAGGGTTGGGGGTTGGCTGATATGTAGGATCTATAGCCCATGTGCATGAGCCTGCTCAACCCTAAACGCTACACAGATTCCTAGTAGGTGCCGTTTAGGGTTTAGGGTGCTGAACAGGGTTTAGGGTTTAGGCTTTACTGCTGGCACCAAGGAATGCATGTGGCTTCAATGACAGAGACCTGGGAGCCCTGAAATCTAGAATGTCACGCATGCCCAGACGGGCTGTCGTGCTACTGGGGGACCTCAACCCTAACTCTAAACCCTCAACCCTAGACCCCAAACCCTAAACCACAACCCCCTCTTCTAAACCCTGACACCCTAAAGAAGCCCCTTACTCAGGCTCCAAACTCCTAAACCCCCGAAACCCTAAGCCTCTAAACCCTAAACCCTCAGCCTCAGACACCCTAAGCCCTAAACCGAGGCTCCATCAGCCTCCAGCGCACCTTTCTGAATTTCGACCTCCACCCGCGCTCGCCGCTACGCCTTCCTTTCTTGCTTAGCCAAAAGTTTAGATGTTAACTTTTTGGGTTTCCTTATTTAGTAGGAATCTTAAAGTTTAACCCTTTTCTTCCCTTGGTTATGGGAGAAGTAAGATTTAGTGATCATGGAGGCGGCTTTCTCAGGTCGTGGGGCTGAGTATAGGGCTTAAGGGAGTTTAGGGTTTAGGGTTTTTGGGCTTAATGCAGGGCTCAAGGTGGCTTAGGGTTTAGGGCTTCACGAAAAACTTGACAAACAAGTTTAGGGTTTGAGAACTTCGAAGCCCCAAACTCCAAACCCTTAAAGGTTTAGGGAGGTCCTCCGGACCAGACCACAGAATGAAAGCTGTGTGAAAATAAGTTACTAAGTAAATACACAATATATAGGGTTGCGGTTTAGGGCTTAGGGTTGAGGGCGAACCTAGAGAGCACACTACCCCTTGAATAAGGGACATGTGGGTTTCGGGTTTATGGTGGGGGTTTTGGGGGCATATACCTTAAATTATCAGGGATCCTTAGTCCATTCAAAGGTATGTTCCTGATTTAAGGGGTTTTGGGTTCTTTGGGTACCTGAAGGCTGTAATGAAGTTGTTGTTGCAGTTATACATGGGCTTCTGGTATACTAGCCTCAAAAGGTATTACAGAGGAGCCTCCAGGCAGGAGTTCCTCTTTGGGTTCGTCGTAGGAGAGTGTAGTACGCTACTTACTACATTGGTGCTCAACTTCTCTCACGTTAAGTGTTTGAAGTTTAGGGTGCCAAGCCCTGAAGACTTAAATGCTTGTCCCCCCAGCTCTGAAGACCTGAGCCGCAAGCCATGAAGCTTGAGCCACTGAAGCCCTAAGGCCTAGCTTAGGGGTACTTGAGCTTGAGGGCCCACCAATAATCCCCACCACCACCACCAAAAATTCCAAACAATCACGCACGACAAGTAATCAACACGAACCTCTCCAGGCGAGCCCCAATCCTCAGTTGTTCTCGGGCTTCCTGGTTCAGGGTTATGGGCCTTCAGGGTTCGAAGTCTCGAGCTCCCGTAGGGTTCTTGGGGCTCATATTCTGGGAGTGCGGATCATGCAGAGGTCAAAACCCTCAACCCCAAACCCCCGCCCCAAACCCTAAACAGCACCCTAAACCCTAAACCCTCAACCCCGGATCAGCAAAACAGTTCGAGGGCGCCCCGACATCCTGAACCCTAGGATGGAGGTCTGCACCCTTGATTTTTTGGGACATGCGGTTTAGGGTTTAGGGTTTGGGGTTTGGGGTTTGGGGTTTAGGGTTTGGGGTTTGGGGTTTGGGGTTCAAGGGCTCAGGGTTCAGACGAGGCAGAGCGTTTGCTCTGACAGCGTGCTCCACGGCCGGAATGCCCGCTCGGGCCACTCGGCCTCCGAAAGCTTGCGGAACTTCAATGGTTCAGAGGCCCTAAAGCCTAAACCCTAAACCCCAAAATTCAGCCCTAGAACCTACGTTTTTAGGGTTTGGAGTGTACTAGGATTTAGGTTTTAGGTTTCAAGGGTTTCGGGGTGCCCTAGTTCCTCTAAGACCCTGCCAAAGCCTAGGACCTGGAGTAGGCACCCTATTCCGAGGTTACTCCTGGGTCCAGAAGCCTATACCCCTAAATCCTGAGATCATCAAACGCCCAACGCCGGCCCTCGACTGCACCCCCTGCGCCTTTGCAAGCGCCTGGGTAGGTTTGGGGTTTGGGGTTTAGGGTTTAGGGTTCGTGGTTTAGGGTTTAGGGTTTAGGGTTTAGGGTTTAGGGTTTAGGGTTTAGGGTTTAGGGTTTAGGGTTTAGGGTTTAGGGTTACAGTGGCTGCCTTGTACCTGGAATGGATTCGCCGGGGCCCGAGTTCCCAAATTCCCTGTTCAAGCCCGGGCCCTAAACCCAAATTCGCGAAACCCGAAACCCGAAACCCGAAACCCTAAACCCTAAACCCTCAACCCTCAACCCTCAACCCTCAACCCTCAACCCTCAACCCTCAACCCTCAACCCTCAACCCTCAACCCTCAACCCTCAACCCTAACCCCCCCCCCCCCCGGTGAAAATCCCCTACTGAGAACCTGTAAGCCGAAGCCTCTGAGGGCGCCGGCTCCAGTCTTCTTTCTCTCCTCCAGAGCCCGGGGCCCAGCGCATCTGTAAGGTTTAGGGTTTAGGGTTTTTGGGGTTTTGGGGTTTGGGGGGTTTTTGGGGTTTTTGGGGTTTTGGGGTTTTGGGGTTTTGGGGTTTTGGGGTTTTGGGGTTTTGGGGTTTTGGGGTTTTGGGGTTTTGGGGTTTTGGGGTTTAGGGTTAAGGGTTTAGGGTTAGAGTTTGGGGTTTGGGGTTTTGGGTTTTGGGTTTTGGGTTTAGGGTTTGGGGTTTGGGGTTTGGGGTTGAGAGCGCCTGTAGGGTTTAGGACTTTCGATTTGCATGCGGGGAGTCTTCCGGTCGGTCCTCTGGGCCGAGACCAGAACCAAAAGTGGAATTTCATTGTTTTGGGGCTGGGTTCATGGCTTAGGGCACCCTAAACCCTAAATTCTAAAACCCTAAACTCTAATCACTAATCCCTAAACCCTAAACCCTAAACCCTAAACCCCAGCAGGGTTTACTTTGGGGCAGGGCCTTACCAAATCAATCGAGCCCGGCCATGTTAACATTAAGCCCAAAATGTTTTCGGCATAATTAACCCATTACCCTCAAACAACACTAGGCCCAGAGTCGATAAACCCCTGAAACCCCAGCCAGCAATGAATCAAAGACATGGAGACCCCGAAACATCCCTGAACCCTAAACCCTAAACCCGAAACCCGAAACCCGAAACATGCCTAAGCCTTCGGCTCGGGGTCATGCAGCATCCCCTTCCCTGGAGCAGGGATTTAGGGTGGCCCTCGGACCCCTTCAAGGCCCTAAACCCTAAACCCTAAACCCTAAACCCTAAACCCCAGCAGGGTTTACTTTGGGGCAGGGCCTTACCAAATCAATCGAGCCCGGCCATGTTAACATTAAGCCCAAAATGTTTTCGGCATAATTAACCCATTACCCTCAAACAACACTAGGCCCAGAGTCGATAAACCCCTGAAACCCCAGCCAGCAATGAATCAAAGACATGGAGACCCCGAAACATCCCTGAACCCTAAACCCTAAACCCGAAACCCGAAACCCGAAACATGCCTAAGCCTTCGGCTCGGGGTCATGCAGCATCCCCTTCCCTGGAGCAGGGATTTAGGGTGGCCCTCGGACCCCTTCAAGGCCCTAAACCCTAAACCCTAAACCCTAAACCCCAGCAGGGTTTACTTTGGGCCAGGGCCTTACCAAATCAATCGAGCCCGGCCATGTTAACATTAAGCCCAAAATGTTTTCGGCATAATTAACCCATTACCCTCAAACAACACTAGGCCCAGAGTCGATAAACCCCTGAAACCCCAGCCAGCAATGAATCAAAGACATGGAGACCCCGAAACATCCCTGAACCCTAAACCCTAAACCCTAAACCCGAAACCCGAAACATGCCTAAGCCTTCGGCTCGGGGTCATGCAGCATCCCCTTCCCTGGAGCAGGGATTTAGGGTGGCCCTCGGACCCCTTCAAGGCCCTAAACCCTAAACCCTAAACCCTAAACCCTAAACCCCAGCAGGGTTTACTTTGGGGCAGGGCCTTACCAAATCAATCGAGCCCGGCCATGTTAACATTAAGCCCAAAATGTTTTCGGCATAATTAACCCATTACCCTCAAACAACACTAGGCCCAGAGTCGATAAACCCCTGAAACCCCAGCCAGCAATGAATCAAAGACATGGAGACCCCGAAACATCCCTGAACCCTAAACCCTAAACCCTAAACCCTAAACCCGAAACCCGAAACCCGAAACATGCCTAAGCCTTCGGCTCGGGGTCATGCAGCATCCCCTTCCCTGGAGCAGGGATTTAGGGTGGCCCTCGGACCCCTTCAAGGCCCTAAACCCTAAACCCTAAACCTTAAACCCTAAACCCTAAACACTAATTTAGGAAGCCCCCAAGTCCGAAACCAAACCCCACGCCAGCCGGACCTGGCAGGCCTCCCTTGGACAAGCTTCCCATGCGCATCCCATGGAAGGCCATCTTGTTCATGACCCTCAGACTGGTTTAGGGTTTAGGGTTTTAGGGTTTTCGGTTTTTAGGTTTTTAGGGTTTTAGGGCTTTAGGGGTCTTGGGGTGCAGCGTGCAGGGGTTTAGGGTTGGGGGGGGCTTCAGGAATTTTAGGGATTTGGGGCTCTGGGCCCTACTAAACCTTAAACCCTAAACCCTAAACCCTCAACCCTAAACCCTAAACCCTAAACCCTTTCGGTGGGGGACACCATGAGGGCGTCCAGGCGTCGCCTTCAGAGATGATCAGCCCTTATTCCCAATATTAAACCTCCCCCCTACCCCGAATATAAAATACTCCCATTATAGTTTTATTCTCGTATGTTGGGGAGGGGCTGTTAATATTAGGGGGTAGGGGGTGGGGGGGTTTTAATACTAGGGGGAGGGGATTATCCCCCCAAAAGCATCTCAAGGCGGCATGGCCCCTCGCAGAAGCGTTTCGGGTTGAGGGTTTAGGGCCAGTTTACGGTTGAGTGTTGAGGGTTAGGATTTAGGGTTCAGGGTTTAGGGTATAGGGTGTGGGGTTTAGGGTTGAGGATTGAGGGTTTAGTGTTTAGGGTTTAGGGCTCTCATTCTTCATTTCATTAAGCCCTACATCGTCCATATGAGACTCGGAACCCCCGCAAGAGACTGTGACCTCGAGACCACCCCCCCCCCCCCCACCCCCGCCCCCCACGAGTTGATCTTGAACTAAGGGGAGAGTGAAACATGTAGGGTTTAGGGTTCGGGTTTAGGGTTTCGGGTTTAGGGTTTAGGGTTCGTGGTTTAGGGCACGCGCTGGCCAAGAAGCACAAGAAATGTTGCAAGAAAGATGCCGCAGATCTTGCATTGGAAGCATTGGAAGCCAAGAGAAGGCGAGTGGCTTTGTTGAAAGTTGATGCAGATCCTATATCCCCCTTGGAATTATTTTTTTTGTTTATGTAAAACCCAAGAGGATATTAATAGTGTTTTTATTAAGGTTCTAAGGTGAGTATAGAAACCACACAGACGACCCAGACAGGGCTGTGAGAAAGAGGATGTCCAGGCGGAGCCACTGCAGGTCACGACTTTCATGACTGTTGGTGGTGAGCTGCTACGTTCTGAGGGGATGATCCGGGCCTAAGGCAAGGTGTGCAGTTGCCGACATACAGGCACACAGATCTGCTTCGCAGTTAAAGTAGCATCGGAAACATTCACTGGGAGGAACTGACGTGCGAGCGCCAACTGCTTTCCAAACTCCGGTGTCAGCATGGAATTGCCTACCCCTCCCCCCCCCCCCCCCCCCCACCACAGCCCCCCACCCCACCACCACCTCCCCACCACCAGCCCCCCACCACCAACCCCCCAGCTCCCCCCCCCCCCCCTCCTTCCCCCCTCCCCCCCCCAGCCCCCCCACAAAAAAACAAACAGAAACCTCTTCTCCATTTCTACTCTTCCTCGACCTCGGGCCGGGCCACCTTCCAAAAAACGCGAACGTTTCGGTCAAAACTGTCGGTTTTAATATTTAACCTTTCAGTCAAAACTTTAGCAAAAATTGCTTGGACCCAAACTATCCATAACATTTTATTGCAAATCATAATTAGGCCCCATAAGCCTAAACCCTCAAAAGCTTAAACCCCAAACAGCAAGGATCGCGTTCAACATCATCTTTTGCATTGACTATTTGGTGATGGCTCCGGACGTCTTCGGCGTGGAGCGGCCACCTGTTTGGGTTTAGGGCCTGGGGTTTTAGGTAGGGTTTAGGGTTTAGGGTTTAGGGTTTAGGCTTTAGGGTTTAGGGTTTAGGGTTTATAGTGTTCAGGCCTTACGGCCTGTGGGGACTCGGGTTTATTCAGCCACCAAAGCCTGGGGCAGAGGCCTTAGGATTTAGTATTCTTTGCAAAGGTCTAGGCTCTCTGGGATTCACAAGGAGGGCGATGAGTTCCTATACCTGCCCCGCATTTCTTGCAGCTCACCCTACACTACACGGAGAAAAGAGGGTGTGGCCTCATAGCTGGGGGGTTTGGGGGTCAGAGGGTCTAGGCCCCCCCCCCTCCCCAGGAACTTGCTGACCACGCCACGCCCATCCAAGGGCAAGAGGTACGTGTGGAAGGTTTAGGAAGTGCAGGATTCGCCCCACATCGCCAAACCCACATTGTGTGCAGCTCTAAACCTTAAACCCTAAACGGCAGCACTCTAGAGCACTTTGCAACATCATCTACTAGTTGCTTAAGAACCCCGAAAACCTAAAAACATTCTTCCTTATTAAGGGGCAATATAGGGATGATTGTTTTTTCTTTTGGGGTTCTTAAGCAAACAGTAGTCATACCCTAAACCCTAAACCCTAAACCCTAAACCCTAAACCCTAAACCCTAAACCCTAAACCCTAAACCCTAAACCCTAAACCCTAAACCCTAAACCCTAAACCCTAAACCCCAACAATTTGCAACCATCATCCCAGGTGTAGCGTGCCGTATTGGATCGCTCTGCTGGCACTGTACCCTGTTGTGGCAGCGTCCGTGCTCGTCGCTGTGCGGCGCCGGTGCTGACTACTTACTTAGCTTTCACGGTGTTTTACACGGTGTTTTGAGGGGTTTAGAATCAGGTTTTGCAGGGTTAGTGTTTAGGGCTTACTTAGCGAGTAGTTGAACGTTAAACTTTTTGGGTTTCCTTGTTTAGTAGGAATGAAAATGTCTAACATTTTCCCTTGGTCATTGGAGAAGTGAGGGCTACGGGCTAGTGATTGGTTAGGGTCAACTTGGATCCTTCAACTGAAGATACCCCAAAAGACCCCCCACCCCTTAGGCCCGTTATTGAGGCTTTGGGGGGGGGGGGGGGGGTGCAGGAATGGTTCTTAGGGATTTGGCGCTTTGGGATTTTGAGGGGCAGGTCTGTCGACGATGTAAGCTTCAACAGGCTGTTCGTAGCTTAATAAAACTGTTTTGCCTTGTTTGGGGTTCCCAGCCTTGGCAAAGATGCAAAACGGGTGCGTGACTTAGGAACATGTAAGCTTTAGGCTTTAGGGTGTAAGGCTGACATGCATAGGGGGGGAGCACAGGCTAGGATTTTGACCTGTTCACAGCAGCAACTACCAAGACCACAATAGGTAGGCTTTCAACAGGACACTACCTCCCCACACACCCTGAACAAACGCCATAAGAGGGCCACCATCAAGCCCCAGGTGCTCTCGTAAGCTAAGCCCCCGTAAACCTGTCTCATCCTTTCTTACCTACAAGCTCGGGCCCTAGAAACCGTGCACCCTCATGCCCCTGAGCCTTTTTGAGCCTCAACACCCCGAAACCCTAAAACCCTAAACCCTAAACCCTAAACCCTAAACCCTAAACCCTAAACCCTAAACCCTAAACCCTAAACCCTAAACCCTAAACCCTAAACCCTAAACCTATCTGAAGTCTCTAACTCTGTTTTTTTTTGGGTCAGTTGCAGGGGGTTCTAATAGAGTACCTCTGTGGTGCTTTTCTGTAACTTTAGATCCTTAGCCTTTTTTGGGTCTATTGGGTTTCTCAATAAGGCAGGAAGAATAAATCTATAGCTATCCTGCTAAGTGCAGCCAAGGTACCCTAAATAGGCTAATCAGGTATCACATCTAAGCCTTGGATTGAACCCCAAACCAAAAACAACCGAAGGCTACTTGGAGGTCTGCACTTCGGCTCGGGGGATGTCGGGTTTTAGGGTTTAGGGTAGTTTTTGGGTGCAGGGCTGCAGCTAGGATCCCCCCGCTGACTAGGTGAGGGTTTCGGGTGTAGGGGATCTAGGGGTTAGGGCTTAGGGTGCAGGGGTTTGGAGTTTAAGGTTTTCCTTGTGGGGTTTCCGGGCCACAATAAGGCAGACTTTTCTGCATGTCTTCTGTTCCCAGGTTCAAGGCGTATGTTCACTTAACAAATCAAAACTAAAACTCCCCCAAGGCCCGAACCTCGCTCAGCGGTATCGGGAGGAGAGGGCAGTTTAGAGCTCGCATCGGGTTTAGGGTTTAGGGTTTAGGGTCTAGGGTTTAGGGTGTGTAGGGTTTGGGTTCAGGGTTGGGTTGAGGCAAAACCTATACCGTAAACCCGACACCGTGGAGACAGCAGATAGCATCCTACAGAGTTTAGGGGTTTAGGTTTAGGGTTTAGGGTTTAGGGTTTAGGGTTTAGGGTTTAGGGTTTAGGGGATTTGGGGCGCTGGGTTCCTCGATAGGGATGGCCCGCAAATGAAGCCTAAGCCGTTCGAAGCCCTAAGCCGTAAGCCCCTGGATCCTGTGACCTTGATGTTAAACAGGACCACCCCAAAGCCTACACCACTCAAGGGTTCAGGGTTTAGGGTTTAGGGTTTAGGGTTTAGGGTTCAGGGTTCAGGGTTTAGGGTTTAGGGTTTAGAGTTTAGGGTCTAGGGTTTAGAGTTCAGGGTTTAGGGTTTAGGGTTTAGGGTTTAGGGCTTAGGGTGTTAGACCTTGAGGTTCATACGCCGCCTGGACGACTGGCATGAGCAGCGGGGGGATGGCCCCATTGAGGGCGATCCGGCCATCGGCAGGCCCATGGAGTGTGCAAACGGCTTTTCTGTGTCACGGTGTTAGGGTGTAGGGTTGAGGGTTGAGGGGAACGGGTTTGGGGTTTAGGGTTATATTATATTACATTATACTATATAATATACTATTATATTATATCATATATTATATTATATTATGTATGTATGTGCGTACGTACGTACGTGTGTGTGTGAGAGAGAGAGAGCGTGTGTGTGTGTGAGCGCGTGTGTGTGTGTGTGTGTGTGTGTGTGTGTGTGTGTGTGTGTGTGTGTGTGTGTGTGTGTGTGTGTGTGTGTGTGTGTGTGTGTGTGTGTGTGTGTGTGTGTGTGTGTGTGTGTGTGTGTGTGTGAGAGAGAGAGCGTGTGTGTGTGTGTGTTGTGTGTGTGTGTGTGTGTGTGTGTGTGTGTGTGTGTGTGTGTGTGTGTGTGTGTGTTGTGTGTGTGTGTGTGTGTGTGTGTGTGTGTGTGTGGGTGTGTGTGTGAGAGCGTGGTTGTGGTGTGTGTGTTGTGTGTGTGTGTGTGTGTGTGTGTGTGTGTGTGTGAGAGAGAGAGAGCGTGTGTGTGTGTGTGTGTGAGAGAGAGAGCGTGTGTGTGTGTGTGTGTGTGTGTGTTTGTTTGTTTGTGTGTTTGTGTGTTTGTGTGTTTGTGTGTTTGCTTGTTTGCTTGTTTGTTTGTTTGTTTGCTTGTTTGCTTGTTTGTTTGTTTGTTTGCTTGTTTGCTTGTTTGTTTGTTTGTGTGTTTGTTTGTGTATATATATATATAGCATATGTATATATGTATGCATATGTATGTATGTGTATATATATATATATGCATATAAACCCTAACCGTGAAGGAATGCCGTGTTGACCATGCCTCTCTTGGCCACTGTCGTGGGCCTGCTTGCGGGACTCCTGGGGCTGGGCGGAGGCCTGTGAATCGTGGAGAGGGCTTCGGGTCTCGGGGGTGGGTTCGGGGTTTAGGGTTTAGGGCTTAGGGTTTAGGGTTTTGGGGCTTAGGGTTCAGGGTTTAGGGCTTAGAGTTCAGGGTTCAGGGTTTAGGGTTTAGGGCTTAGGGCTTAGGGTTTTGGGTTTAGGGTTTTGGGTTTAGGGTTTAGGGTTTAGGGTTTGTCTAAGGGTAGTTATATGGCCCCTTAATATGGTTCCTTACTTTCCTTAAAGGGTTCTGAATGTAACTACCCTTAGAGTTTAGAGCTCAGGACTTCTCTGCTCCGGGATGTTTAAGGTCTTTATTAAGGTGTAAGGGCTTCGGGTTTAGGATTTTGAAAGGGCGTTTAAGGTTTCAGGGTTGTCCACCTTTGTCGTAGGCCTTGGATAGATCCTCTTCAGTGTGGCCCCCCACCCCCCGACCCCCCCCCGACCCCCCCCCGACCCCCCCCCCCCCCTTTCCCGGCCCCCCCCCCCCCTCCCCCCCCCCCCGATTTGTCCCTGTTTAGACGGTTTGGGGGGTTTATATGATTTTCATAGGGGGAGCTTAGATAAGTTTAAAAGGGGCGGTGATGCCCGGCAATCTTTTTTAAAGGCGCGCCACGTGGAATTTTCTTACGCGCCCGGGCGATTTGCCTGTAAAGCCCCACACAGTCAGGATGTCCTGAAGAACACCGCCAAATTGACTTTATAGAGGAGGCCCCTACTAAACCAGGTCCAACATTAGGGTTTAGGGTTTAGGGTTTAGGGTTTAGGGTTTAGGGTTTAGGGACCTACTAAGTGCCTCGGCCCTGAAGCCGAGCTCTCCACGTAGGTGAATTCTTGGTGCCGCTGCTGCTGGAGCTCCTGGGATGGGTTGGCGGGTGTTTGCATCGCCTGCACCCTAAACCCAAAACCCTCAACCCTAAACCCTAAATCCTAAACCCTAAACCCTAAACCCTAAACCCTAAACCCTAAACCCCAACCCTCAACCCTAAACCCTGAAAACCCTGAACCCTAGTTCGGACGGTGGAGGTTTAGGGCTACTTGGTTGTTCTGAAGCCGAAAGTGCAGGACCTGGTCTTATCAGTAGGGCTTTGTGTTAAGGATTTAGGGTTTAGGGTATAGGGTTTAGGGTTTGATGCTACTCACGGATCTTCGAGTGTTCCCTCCTTAGGTTTTTGGGGCTTGTGTTTGGCTTTACACCCCAAGCTTCGGGAACTACACGTCTGTTGTCTCCAAGGCTTTGTATCCTAAACCCTAGACCCTAAGCCCGAAACCCGCAACCCTAGACCCTAATCCCTAAACCCTAAACCCTAATTCCCTCGCAGCCCTACCGGACTCCGTTAAGACCCCAAAGGCCCTTAAACCCCAACATTTTCTAGGAAGCCTAAGACCCCTAAAGCCCCAAACCCTCGACCCTCAACCTTCGTTCTAAGCCCTCAACCCTAAACCCCTCAACCCTCAACCCTAAACCTGAAACCCTGGCCCCAAAACCGCCTAAGACTCCACAGAACCTCCAAGACTGCCAAGAGCTCAGCCCTCAGAACCGCTAAGAACCCCTAAGAACCCCTAAACCCTAAACCTCAAAATCTAAGCTCTAAGCCCTAAACCCTGGCGACTCCTAAGTTGAGACCCGAAGCCCCCAAGAAGAGGCCGAAAGCGGCAAAACAACCCCAAGACTTCTAAGAACCCAAAGAGCTGGGTTTAGGGTTTAGGCCTGAGGGTTGAGGGTTGAGGGTTTGCTAGTAGCTGAGCGAGCACACTTTTCACTTTTTGGGATACTATAACCCCTTATAAAACTGAAAGTGTACACTTTTTGGGGGGCTTATGAACTCAGCAACTAAGGTCATTAGGGCCTACGGGAGTCCTATCATCTTCTCCCTAAACTTCTGGCTCCTGATTCTCCGAGGTTTGGCACGCACCCCCGCGTTGCCGCAGCGACATCAGGCCAGGGGGTCGGGTTCAGGCTTTTGGGTTTGAGGCGATGTTTAAGGGCTGAGGGAGATGATGAGGGTGCGAGTTTCGGGCTTAGGGTGTTGGAGGCGTTTTCCGGGCTCTCCGAGCTGTTTGGAGGATTCGGTTTTTCCTTGAACCCCAGAACCCCTAAACCCTAAACCCCTAAAGGCCGTCTCTCAAAAGCACCCAGAAAACCATGTGGCGCGCGCACGCGGTGCTTGGAGTCTCAGGGCACCTTGGGTGTTGGATTCCAAGAAATCTCATGGTGCGTTGTCGCGCGTGTGTATATGGTCACTTCCCGAAAACATGGCCCCTCCTGGTGTTCCCCTAAACCTTAAAATGCAAACCTTAAGCCTCACACCCTTAACCGTAAACCTTCAACCCAACAACGCCAACCCCCACAGCACAGGCAAGGAGGGGCTAAACTTTAAACTGCAAGCCTTGGAGTCGATGGTGGTCTGTTTGAAAGAGGGTTTAGGGTTTAGGGTTTAGGGCTTAGGGTTTAGGGTTTAGGGTTTAGGGTTTAGGGTTTAGGGTTTAGGGTCCTTTCGCTTTCTGGCCGCAAGAACCCTGACATCGATCCAAAGACCTACTTCGGTCCTTCGATTTACACACACACACACACACACACACCCACGCAAACAACCTACCGGGCATTTCACCGTAAACCTTAATTAAACCTTAAACGTTCAACCTTAAACCTTAAACCTTAAACCTTAAACCCTAAACCCTAAACCCTAGCCCCCAAACCGCACCCACACCACCGGGGGGGGGGGGGGGGGCGCAGGCGGCCGCCTCTTAAACCCAATCACTCCACATGCCTAACCCTTATTCGAACCCTAAACACAGTGAATTGTAGCCCGGACCGTGGGGGTAGGCCCTAAAACATAACCCTCGAACCCTAAACCCTACCGGGGGGGCGGGGGGGGGGGGGCGGGGGGGCGGGGGGGGGCGGGGGGGGGGCGGTAGGGGGCGCGGGGGGTCGGGGAGGGGGGGGCGAGCGGGGGGGGTTGTGGGGGGGGGGTGGGGGGTGGGGGCGGGGGGTGGTGCCTTGGACGCTTAACGTCTATTCTGCGCGTGCTCTTTGTTTTCTTGGATTCTTCCCGATGGGTTCTCGTTTGAGGAGTTTTGACGTGAGGCCGCGGGGACGACACGGTCAAGGGAGAGGGTTCGGAACATTTTGCTGGGAGAGGGGCGTGGCGGGGAGCGTGACATTCCCTTGATGGGCAGGGGAGTGGGGACACGTGGATGTTCCTCCGTGCCCTCCGCGTTTGCAAGCCCTCCGCGCCCTCCGCGCCTCCGCGCCCTCCGCCTCCGCGCGCTCCGCGCTCTCCGCACCCTCCGCGCCCTCCGCGCCCTCCGCGCCCCGCCCTCCGCACCCTCCGCGACCTCTGCGCCCTCCGCGCGGTCCGCGCCCTCCGCGCCCACCTCCGCGCCCTCCGCGCCCTCCGCGCGCTCCGCGCTCTCCGCACCCTCCGCGACCTCCGCCCCTTCCGCGCCCTTCCCGCCCTCCGCACCCTTCCCGCCCTCCGCGCGCTCCCCGCCCTCCGCGCCCTCCGCGCCCTCCGCGCCTTCCGCGCCCTCCGCGCCCTCCGTGCGCTCTGTGCCTTCCGCGCCCTCCGCGCCTTTCTCGTCCAGGACACAGTGTGCTGATGCTAAGGGTGCATTGCGTCTATTCTGCGGGTGCGTTGCGTCTATTCTGCGGGTGTTTCCTTTGTAAAGTATTTGTTTACAAGGCACGCACGTGCAGCATAGCCTTTTAAGTGTCCATCTTAGAGGGGGGGTGGGGGGGGGGGGGGGGGGGGAGGGTGCGGGGGGGGGGGGGTTGCCGGGGGGGGGGGGGGTGCGGGGGGGGGGGGGTGGGGGGGTGGCAGCCCGAGACAATGTATTATATCTACATATTTTCTACATGATATTCTACTCTCTACATGATATTTTTTTATCATACTATACTATGCGCTATACTATGCGAAACTGCATTATATAATACAGCTTATGTTGTATTGGCTATGGTATGACTTATGGTATACTTTTTAGTGTGGACTACACTTTTATTCCATTAGAATATCCAAGACTAATGGTACTGCATATATTCTTACATTTTGTATATACACACACACAATAATGCTGAAAAGGAATTCAGAGTGTCAAGCAGATTTTGGTACAACCCCAGTCTTCTGGTCACCTTCATCCACAGGCTTCTTGATTTTCTTCAACACGTCCTCCAACGATCCTTTGGCAGCATGCAATGTTGGCGAGTTTTAGGGTTTCGGGTTTGGTGTTTCGGGAGCCGGAATGCAAGGAGTCTGTCAATGTTGCCGCAGTCCTGCCAGAAGTGGATGTTAATTCCTTGGTAGCCCAGCTGTACCCTTTTTCCCTGTTTTTGGGTTCAAGGTTCCCTTATAAGGTAAGCAGCCCAAAAAAAGGTACCCTAATTGCAATATGGTTACTGGGCTACCAAGATTCGCATCTCAGGTAGTTCACTACCTCCTCGCGGGCACCATCGAGCCCTTTATTTCATATGGTATTGGCTGCTTCCTGTTCGCGCCAGCCACCCAGTCTGCTACAGTTGCCGTCCAGAGCCTGATGATGAGTCCCTTAAGAGGGGATCCCTTGCCAATAAAAAACCGGGGCGGTTACTTGGGAGCACGTGTTTTGACTAGCTACCACACTCCCAGACCCCTTTGAGAGAATCCAAAAAGCAGAATCCCCACATAGTACCGTGTGGGTCATTCTTAGGACCCCTTAAGGGGATCTACTTTTTGGATCCTCAAATATGGGAGTCTGGTCTGTTTCGGCAATGTGCCTTCTGCCAGAAAAGACCCCTAAACTGTAAACTCCACCATAGAGCCCTAGAGAATAGAGTGTTGAAGCCACAAGCACCTCAAACCTAAATCCTTGACCTCAAAGCCTGAAATTCAACCCGGAAAGCCTAACCCCGGAACCTCCGAACTCCGAAGCCTTAAGCCCTGAAATCCCACAATCCCACAACCCTCCAACCAAAAAAACTCAACCCTAAATCGCCCTCAAGCCCCAGGGCCTCTCAAGCCCTAAACCCTAAACCCTAAACCCTAAACCCTAAACCCTATGCCCTACAAATCTCTCAAGCCCTGCCTCCTTCCCCGCGACTACAATAGTCAATGCAGGATGCTTGTGTCGAAGACGTGTTGTAGATGTTTCACCAACAGTCCTACTATGAAAGGTATCTATAATGCGGGACCTGTTTTTTGAACAACTGGTTGGGGAGGGTTTTGATCTCAGGGTTTATGGCAATAGTTTAGTGGGTGTGGGTGCAGCCTCCTCACCGGTTTAGGGTTTAGGGTTTAGGGTTTAGGGTTTAGGGTTTAGGGTTTAGGGTTTAGGGTTTAGGGTTTAGGGTGTAGGGTTTAGGGTTTAGGGTTTAGGGTTTAGGGTTTAGGGTTTAGGGTTTGGTGGGGGTTGGGGTGATGTGGTAAACGGTGTTTGATCCACACCGAGAACACGGATGTGTGCAACATCAACATTGTAGTGTTAACTGCACAGTAGCGTACAAATGACAGCATCAGAAAGAGTCAGAGTGACAATGTCAATGGACCTGTTCAGATTCACGCTAGTACTGCTGCTTGGTCTCACACCGCTAGCCACTGCCACCACCAAGAATGCCGGCGACCCTACGCACGAAGCAGGTTCAATCCACACTTCATTGAACCAACTAGCAGCAGAGATATATATATATATGTGTATGGTACCCCGGCCTCTTGCTGCACTGTCCCTTCAAAGCCAATCGCAGAAGCGGAATCCCTAAAACACCTAAACAACCAAGCAGTGCAGCCAAGTCCTCTTCCAAAAGTTGGTTTTGTAGGGACAGTATGGCACCCTGAAACACCAATCCTGTGTATACGTACATGTATCTGTATATGTATATGCATATGTATATTTAAAAATGTACATGCATATATTCCAGGAGGCTCCCCCTTGCTATAATAACTATAGTTCATGGGACTTATAACCAAAGTCCGGATACTTGTAACCAAGTTCTGGGCCCTCACTACTTACGACGATGGGGGCCTCCACATTTACATTTCCACCCTATACCCTCCTAATACATAGGGGGGGGGGGGGGGGGGGGGGGGGGGGGGCAGCTTATTGAACAAAAACGATACCACAAACCGGAGCCTTAGGATGTTCGGCTCGCTTTGTGGCCTGCTCGCTGGCAACACGTCGGTCCCTCAGACATCCCAGACCCGGGCAAACGGTAAACCCTAAACCCCTCAAATGTAACCCTAAAGCCACAAACCCTTGACAATTCGTTTCATAGAACCCTGAAGCCGGAAACCTTTAAGTGATCAAACCCTAAAGCCATGAACCCCTGACTCATGAAACGCTAAACCCATGGACCCTGGAACCCAGCGCGGTTCTAGGTTTAGTGTGTTTGAGTGTAGTGGTTTGCTGTCTCTGGGCCTTGCTTATTGCCAGAGAGCCCAATACCCCTCAAGGCCTATCCTTTACTTACGGGGTACTGGGGTGTTTGGTTTTCCGGACCGCATTGCAGCTGCAGCGATGGGCTACCTCACACCGGAGCAGGATCCACCGTTGAACCGGGACGTACTGTTGGAGGATGAAAAGTGAGTAAGTAGGTGCCAAATGCAAGTATCCGACAAAGGGGGTCTGCTTGTGGTGTTATCCTTAGCTTGCGCCTGCTCTCTTGCCTCCCTACTTAGTTACTTAGCCAAGAGTTGAACTTCAACCTCTTGGGTTCCCGTATCTAATAGGGATCATCAAGTTTAGTCTTTTCTTCCCTTGGCTATTGGAGAAGTACTGTAAGTCTCCCCCCCTCTCAGGCGATATGTCAAGGAGCACAGCTATCTCATCATCTTTCTCGTGGCGGTCGCGCAGCATGGCTTTTGTTTCAACTGAGTCGAACTGAAGGAGCTGTAAGGTAGAGTTCCTTTTTGGGTTGCTTCTGGGGGGATTCGAGTATACTGACCGAAAAATGGTACTACTTAGAGGAGCTTGTTGGTAGGGTTTTGCAGCAAGAAGTTTAGGGTTTCGGTTTAGGGTTCATATGTTTTTTTTGGTTTCAGAGTTCCGGGTTCATGCATTAGGGCTTACTAAGGAAAAGCATTTTGGGGTCGCAGCTGTAGATGCATAAGTCATCCGCAGGCTTTCGATTGCCGACTACAGAAGTATCACATTTATAAGGTTTGTTGAGCAGTGATCATACCAAAGTCTATAACCCTAAACCCTAAACCCCAAAGTCTATATACCCTGTCGAGCCAGTCTGCTCTAGCAACGGATCGAGGATGAAACTGAGCATTCCAGCCATAGTTCGGTTGCTGGGGAACCTTCCTAAACCCTAAACCCCAAACCCTAAACCCTGCCCTAAACCCTAAACCCTAAACCCCAAGCCCTGAACCCGCAAGGTGCGGTCTCCAGTTTTCAGCTCAGAATCACATGTTCCCTCCCTGAAGGTTTAGGGCTTAGGGTTTAGGGTTTAGGGGCTTAACATCCTGTTCTTCTTCTGGGACCCAGAGTTGGCCCTTAGAACCAAGAAGGGCACCCATTTCCTTCCTAGGTTACTCTTGTCTAGCCTTTGGGGGGGGGTAGCGATCTGAGGGACGACCTCTACTGGAACTCACCCTGAATCCTGAGCACTACTCAGAACCCTGAACTCTAAAGCCTAAACCCTCTCACGCCAGGACCCTGAACCCTAAACCCTAAACCCAACCCTGAACCCTAAACCCGAAACCCTAAACCCTAACCCTAAACTCTGGCTCAGGCTCTTCGCCTCAGCCATCCTTTTGGTTGTACGCGGATTCTCGGAGGTCAGCTGGTCATTCGCAGGCCATGTCCGGCATACTTGGAGGATCGGGGATTCCTAGAAAGTACAGACTGAGGAAAAAGTAATTACCCTGAACCCCAAACCCCAAACCCTAAGCCCTAACCCTAACCCCTAAGCCCTAAACCCTACCCTCAAATGTTCGAGCTTACTAGGTTTCCCGGGCCCCGGATCAGCTTGGGGATTCGAGGGAGATTCTCACGCATTGGCAATTAGAAGGCAAGTCCAGATCATTGTGGGCAATCCCAGGCATCATGCTTGAATTCACATGATAATCCTCAACCCTCCGCCCTTATAAGCCCTACACCTACAAGCAGGCGCCGCCCCCTAGCTATAAGTAGAGTCATAGGGACCCTAAACTAGGTTATAAGGATCCTAAATTAGGTTACAAGTCCCTTAACTATAGTTAGTATAGCAAGGGGGCCCCTCCTTGTAGGATGGGCTCGTTTTGCCAGGTTTCGGAGTTCGGACAGCAGACTCTAACAGATGTGTTCTGGGTAGGCCCTTGGAATATTTTTTCCCTTACCGGGTTTATGAAGGTCATGTTTAGGACTTTTGGAATATGGTTGAAAAGGGCCAACCTCGTGTTTCTGCATGTACCTGGCGTTGCAAAACCGGCGGTGGGGTTGGGCGATTGCGGCTCGCGTGGGGCACACCCTGAAACTCTAAGCCTTCAGACCGTAAACCCGACTACCCCCTGGAGGTTGTGGGTGCGTGCCCGAAGCGCGCGAACTGGCGGGCGGGCACGCGGGTTCGGAAGTTTATGCTTGATGTGCTGCTTGCTCGTCCTACCCAAAGTTTGCTGAAGTGCGGCTCTTGCTCAGCAAACTTCACGCTGTTGGCCGGGTGTGGGACGTATTGCGCTCTGTTATCCACGGACGGGTCATGCCCATCCACCACAGTCCTTTTCGGCCAACCTGCTGCGCACTTGGCAGATGACAGTGAGGCGATGCGCAAAAGCGCTCACTGGGGGACATTGGGGGAGTGCGGTATGCATGAGGGGTTCCTCAGCCGCACGGGTTGCAGGGACACATGGGGAGGCCACCCCTGCGGCATTCTTGGCTTTTTTGCCGTCCATGCTGAGACTTGGAGGTTCGTGGGTACTTATAACCCCAAGTATAAGTCTACTTATGAACGATTTAGAGGACTTCGGGGGGGTGACAAGTACCCGTCGTGATCGCTTGTTGCACGGGCCGTGGCCGTAGTTTAGTGGCAGCATCACCTGCTGTTGAGGTGCGAAGGGGAGGTGTGTCACCTCTGTTGAGCCGACATGCGCGCGCGCAAGGCAGTGTTTAGGGTTTAGGGTTTAGGCTTTAGGGTTTAGGGTTTAGGGTTTAGGGTTTAGGGTTTAGGGTTTAGGGTGCGATGCAGTGCCATGATGGGCCATGCATCTTATTGCAACCCTTGCGGATCCATGGGCCTCTTTCGTATGGTCCTTGAACCCTAAAGCTACTACATAGGAACCCCCCTTAAACCCCAAGCTTGTACAAATATAGGTACATGGATTCTTACGGAATGCCATAGAAGTGTAGATGATATGTTATGGTATTTCTGCTGGCGTTGGTCAAGGGCTGTGGTTTGCATTGGCAGGTTTGTATGGTGGTCAGTTGTACCTGCCACCTTTACTACGATTTGCTTAAGAACCGCCCCCCCCCCCCCCCCAAAAAAAAAAAAAAAAGAAAAAATAAATAAAAATAAATAAAATACATAGAATACAAATCTATACATATACATATGTATATACTGACATAATCTGTGGTATATATTCTTATTCATTAGGGTAGCATAGAGGATGATTTATATTCATCTTTGGTGGTTTCTTCAGCAATAAGCTAATGCCACTGCCGCACATTTCAGAACACTTTCGCCCTGGCAGGCTTCTGTCCTCCCTGATGAAGCTGCAGCACTTGGGTTTCGGCTTTCAGCCTCAACTCTATTCCCTAGACAGCCTTCGAAACAAAGGGGGGCGCCTCTGAAAAGGGAGTGCCATCGCGAAGAGTTCCGACAACTAATTCATCCTAGCTCAGAGACCCCAGCACGCCAAACCCTAAACCCTAAACCCTGAACACCATACAAAGCCGATATCTTCAGCTTGTAAGACAAAGAATGCCGGCGTGCCTTGACAATGAACCTTGTGACGGATGGGCGAGGCTCTGGGGCGAAGATTTGAAGCTAGGGTTTAGGGTTTAGGGTTTAGGGTTTAGGGTTTAGGGCCTGGGGTTTGGGGTTTAGGTTTAGGGTTACTGGGTTTCTGGACGCAAATTCCAGGTGTCGCTGGCCCCTGCAATTAATCTCACATTGACAGGATAGCTTCCAAAAATGTGGTCACCTTGGAGACACCCAAATATTTGCAGAATGCCAGCAAGAGATCCCCACCACAAAAGGGGCCGTAATCTTCGGAAGCCTCCGACGGGAAACCCTAAACCGCCATTGCTACTCGGTCCCCGTGGACATGAAAGACAACCCTAAATGGGCATTTCCAATTGTAGGGATAACTACCCCTTTTGTACCCCAAATAGAGTAGAATCTCCTTTAAAGGGACCCCAGAAAGGGTACCCTCTATTCTCGGAAACCCCCAAAGATTGAGGTCTGCGTGTTGTTCCCCCTTATGCTAGCAGTCCTTAGTAGGGATTATAGTATCTCCTACTCCTAGGATGCCCAGTAGTACCCTGATTCCCTTTTTGGGGGTTTAGGTTCCCTTCTAAACCCCTTTAAGCAAAAAAGGGGCACCCTGTTTAAGCCATGGTTACTGGGCAGCCTAGCTATTATAATCCCTATGCAGGCCTCTCTTCGCATAAGGGGGAGGAGCATCCCAAGGCTGAAGTTTAGGGTTTAGGGTTTAGGGTTTAGGGTTTAGGGTTTAGGGCTTAGGGCTTAGGGTTTAGGGTTTAGGGTTTAGGGTTTAGGGCCCCCCAAAACCCAAAAAGTTTGCTTCGGCAGAGCTTCGGCGGAATGGCCGACGCAGCTTCATGGAGCTTGTGGGAGCTTAGGGTTAGGGTTTGGGGTTTAGGGTTTAGGGTTTAGGGTTTAGGGTTTAGGGTTTAGGGTTTAGGGTTTAGGGTTTAGGGTTTAGGGTTTAGGGTTTAGGGTTTAGGGTTTAGGGTTTAGGGTTTAGGGTTTAGGGTTTAGGGTTTAGGGGCTTCAGCAGCTACTTTGGAGCTTCGACCCCCATCCCGAGACTCCAAAGACCTGGACCCCCTACCTGCCATCGCAGGCTCCCCACCCCATCCGTAAGCTTCGAAGGCTGAACCCTAAACCCTAACCCCTAACCCCTAAACCTAAACCCAAAACCCTAAACCCTAAACCCTACTCCTAGAGTATAATCGCCCCACCTCTCCATGCCAGTGACCAGTGTGGTAGCAGCCCCACGAGAGGCGCCTACCTCGGTCCTAATTTTTCGGTTCCACATGCACCCGATTCCCAAATCATAAAGAGGTGAAACCACAAAACTCAGGAACCTTTGTAGTCTTTGTGGTGCTTTACTGTAACTTTAGATCCTTAGCCTTTTTGGGTTTATTGGGTTTCTTCATAAGGCAGCTAAAAACTTAATTTATAGCTACCCTCCTGAGGGCAGCCAAGAAAAAACCTACAGCCATCAGACCCTAAACGGGCATGGTACTCCTGTCAGGCTTGGAACTTACCGAAATACACTCTGGCCTTAATACCCTAAACCCGAAACCCTAAGGGCGCCCTGAGCCCTAAAATTTGGGATGCTCCCCCTTATAGAAAAAGTCCTGATTAGTGATCAAAGTTCCCCCCTATTATAATCCCATTAAGGACTGTTACACAAGGGGGAACATCCCTACCTAAAACCCTAGAGCCATAAGACCCTAAATTCAAAATATAGGGTATAGAAGGGGAAAATCCCATCTAAGGGCCCATACTCAGGGACCGTGAAACTACCCTAAGAAACAAGCCTAACCCCTAAAAAGTCTTACGTCCTAAAGACCCTGCACCCGAACCCGAAACCCTAAAACCCTAAACCGTAAACCCTAAATTCTAAACCCTAAACCCTACACCCTAAACCCTAAGCCTTAGACCCTAAATCCTAAGCCCTAAGCCCTAAGCCCTAAGCCCTAAGCCCTAAACCCTAAACCCTAAACCCTAAACCCTAAACCCTAAACCCTAAACCCTAAACCCTAAACCCTAAACCCTAAACCGAAACCTAAGAAACTCGAGCCCCGATGCTGCAACGGTCGAAGCTGTGGGCTCTTTGCCTTTTGCCATCCTTGCGGTTTAGGGTTTAGGGTTTAGGGTTTAGGGTTTAGGGTTTAGGGCCACAAATTAGATGGTCGTCGGCACCTTTGTGACCCGGACCCCGAATCCTTTAGCCCTAAGCCAGGCGTAGTATGAAACCCAGATCTTAGACTGAGCCTTCGCCTTAAGAACCCAAAAACTACTGTTCTGTAGGGTTCCTGAGAATCCTAAAAAAGGGAAGTTCTACACAAAACCTGCCAAAAAGTGGGTTTGGGTTCTCAGGGCAGGGTTTCGAGTTTAGGGCCCAGGGCTTGGAGTTTGGCAGGGTCGGTATGTCTGCCTCCACTCCATCATTGAATCAGGCTCTTTGCTTTTGGTATGTATGGGCTGCAGCTACCTATCTATATGGCTCTACCACACATGCTCCCTCCAACGAGGTTAGCCGCTTTATCTCTCTCTATTTCTCATGTCTCCCTACGCCCGACACCCTAACCCTAAACCCTATTCCCTGTCACTGCAACTGTCTCCACAGACTCTGCTAGGGTTTAGGGTTTAGGGTTTAGACCGATAACGCCGAGCTGATGTAGCACGGGCAGGCGATGCCCTTGCTCAAGCAACATGTGGGTTTCGTTGCTAGTCTTGGGTCATTATTGGGGGATGCTGAGGGGAAGGGACCTCAAACACGGTTTAGGGTCTACAGGCCCCAAACCCCAAACCCTAAACCCTAAACCCTAAACCCTAAACCCCAAACCTTAAACCCTGAACCCCTCAGTGTTTTCAAAGAGGATGGCCCAAAGGCCGGTAGTGGCGCACTTGGCACCGCTTGAGAACCCCCACTTGTGCTCCAAAGCACGCCAGACAAGAGAAAAAGGAGACCTGCTGTCCGACTGCTTCTGTTTAGGGTTTAGGGTTTAGGGTTTGGGGTTTAGGGTTTAGGGTTTAGGGTTCAGGTTTAGGGTTCAGGGTGCAGGGTTCAGGGCTTAGAGTTTCGGGCCATCAGCAATTGCAACGGTTTCGGGGGCGAGTGCTGATCTAGGCCAGAGCTGTCAATCGCAATGGACAAAAGGCACCCTACACCCTAAACCCTAAACCCTAAGGGTATTGGGGCTGTTTGGGTCACCCCAAAACCCCTATCCCTAAACCCTCTGTCGGAATTGGCGGCAACAAGTCTTGCAAGTGCCTGCGAATCAGCCGAAGACCCCTAAATTAAGACTTGTATTTGAAAATATGTGCCCAAAGAGCCCGCAAACCCCTTAAATGAGGACTATACCTCAAAGCCAGTTTTTGGATTTAAGCTATATTCCTCAATTCAGGGGTATTGGGCTCTCTGGGTGGGAAATGTTGAGAAGATTTAAGGTATGTTCCTTAGTTAGGGGGCCACCCTCCTTTGTTGGGGCCGCCTTATACGAAAGTCTTTTATGGGAGACTGGATGAGATGATGCTAGTTGCAGTGGCCAAGATTTTTAGTCAAGACTTACTTGCTTAGCCAATAGTTGAACTTTAAACTTATTGGGTTCCCTTATTTAGTAGGAACAATAAAGTTCAACATTTTCCCTTTGGTTCTTGGAGCCCTAAACCCTAAACCCTAAACCCTAAACCCTAAACCCTAAACCCTAAGTTTTAAGGGCAGGCTTGATTGAGCAGCTGGCTTCAGAAATGTGCGAAACATCTCCGCCTTGCGGCTTTGCCGTGCGACATGCCCTAAACCCTAAGCCCTAAGCTCTAAACCCTAAACCCTAAACCCTAAACCCTAAACCCTAAACCCTAAACCGCGAAAGGGGCCAGGCGAACACTGCCGTTTCTCTGAGGCAGTTCTGCTTTGCCAATGTGGCCGTAAACCCTAAACCCTAAACCCTAAACCCTAAACCTCAAAGGCCCAGTGCTCCCTTAGTTGAGAGCCGCGTGCAGGTGCTGCGCCATGCAGATGAGCCATACGAGCCCCTGAAGGCGCCTTGCTGGACTGGGTTTCAGGGTTACAGGGTTTCAGGGTTTAGGGTTTAGGGTTCAGGGTTTAGGGTTTAGGGTTTAGGGTTTAGGGTTTAGGGTTTAGGGTGGAACGCAGGAATGCATCAAGCTCTAAACATACCATCATGAGTATTTCGCTGTCACCATCGTTCTTTCCTCTGGTGATCATGGTGTTGGAGAGTTAGTTCCGAAACCCCACTATTCCAGTCTCTACTTCGAATGGTACCTTCGTTGAACTTCCTTTCAACACCATTTGCTTCGCTCCTCCCTAAACCCTACATAAAACCCTAAACCGTCACTTCACATGCCCGGAGTATAACCTCAAAACTAGCCTGTGTCTCTCTGACTCTTGTTCCACAGCCTTGTTCAACCATCACACCTTGAGACCCCGTCAACCCATGGTCTGAATATCACGCGTCTGTTCATGAGTCTTACCGCTGGAGCTGGAACTAGATGCATGACACTTCTGTCTTCATGTCCTGTCTTCATCTCCAAGTCTAGGGACGCAAGGCACGGTCTCTTGGGGCTAAAAATAATTCGACTGCTAATACTATAACATATAAAGAGCCCGTACTAAGGGACCATGCAGCTGCCCAAAGAAGCATTGACCTTCGGCATACATCGTAGAGCCACAGGAAACCGACTCAGCCAGGAAGAGAGCAGCTTCTAACCCGACAAAATCCCAAGTCCGCATCCCCCAAAGCCCGACCTTAAACCCCAGAGACCCTACC